AATAACCGTGTGATATGATTGAAGATGGATGTGTTTGCATGTGATGGAGGATGTATGAATGGGGTCCTTTGTTCTCACAAAGGAGTAGTGTGTATGTGTGTGTGTGTGTGTGCGTGTGTATGGATTCAAAATGGAGTCTTGAATACAAGATGGCTGACCCCTTTGTCTGGCTAAAGTGTGGGTGGCAACTTGCACTTTAACTTCCAAAGCACTTAGAATCAGTAGTAACTTAACCTTAAATCACTCAAAACATTTCAAAAGATCATGAAACAACACAAAAGATTAATCACAAATTAATATCTTTTAGTTTCAGCCTGGCCATGACAGAAACCATTTTAAGATACCAAACAATGATCAATAAGCAGTTTATTCTTTCAAAATGACCCGACGGACGTGTTTGGGACGAAAGAGGAAAACACGAAGCTACTTTTTAAGCAATAGACGCGGTTTATTGCTTATTTGAGACTATAGAGGAAACGGGAGAAGGAAAGAATGAGAGAAAAAAATGAGTTTTCTGATCACCAAAGCAGCAAGGCGTCCCCCGCTGTTATGACTTGACGGTTCTCCGTTTTTCTCCGCAGTTTCCAGCGTCATCCGTCGGTTTGATGCTTTCTCCGTTGTTTGGCGTTCACGAGTGTTTCTCCACGGGCTGGACAGAGACAGCAGTTTCTTTCTGTGCTGAGTTATAACTTACAGCGTGCTTGATGGAGTTGTTGCTTTCCTCCGCAGTTCTGTGTCCTCAAACATCAGCTGGAGGGGAGCAGAAACGAGCAGATCTGATGGGCTTGCAGTTTAGTTTCCAGCAGTTCCGTGGGCTCAACGTGGGCACTTAGAGCTTCCGCGTGCTCAAGGGAGTCGGAGCGTTGACAAGCGTGTCCTTACCGCCAGGTATCCTGGGCAAAAGAACGAGGATTCTTTGTCTCTGCTGAAGATTTATGGTCTTAGTTCGCGGGAAAAGCTCCACGGCTTCCCGCACATGCGCAGAACGTGTTTCTGGTACTAGGCGGTGACGTCATCACAATGCTTCCGTGTGCAAAGCATCATGGGAAATGAAGTTTCTTGGCGCTGATGTGATTATTTGCTTTTCAGAGCAATTTAAGCACAGTCATTTTGGAGAAAATCACTGCATAGTAATTTCCTCATGAGGTCAGACCCTCAACACCATTGAGCAGGATTGATAGTTTATCCCTTGAGGTCCACATGGCAGGGGTGAGGTGGTGCTCACTCCTCACCCCTGCCACATGGACCCAAGGGATAAACCATCAACCCTGCTCAATGGTCAACTTTCCTCGCGGGGTCACACCCATTAGAACAGTGGGAGGGTTAAACATGAATCTGAAAAGAGATGTCTACTTTTAGATTTAATTGGAACAAGTCACTGAACAAGGGAGAGAAAGTAAAACTGGACTATTGATCTCATTACTTATATGTCATGTCATCAATACCCAAAGTGTGTTTGGTATTGATTACATTGATATTTGGATCCATGAAACAGTTTGGGAAGGGGGAGCTGTTGTCAGCATGCATACAGAGGGTATAGAAAAGAATCACCCCTGTGAAAGATTTGAAACTTGTTTCCTGAAATCAAAACACAAAATATCCTTTTCCAGCTTTACTTATCCAAAGCAACCAACAACATCCAACAGGAAAATATCACAATTCAGAAATAAAAAACAAGAAATATTGAGATTAATAAAGGATCATCCCCCAGTGTCAATATTTAGTTGAACCAACCTTTGCTTTAATAACAGTCAGTTATGGAACTTTTCTATCAACTGCACGTCTGGATTTAACAATTACTGCCTGCTCTTCTTTACAGAACACTTCCAGTTGGGTCTAGGCGTTGGTCATCTGTAATCAGATTGTCAGTGGGATTTAGGTCTAGGCTCTGACTGGGCCACATGAGGACGTTCACTTGTTCCTCCTTCAGCCACTGTGCGGTCAGTTTTACTGTGTGCTTTGGATCATTGTCATGTTGAGAGGTGACTCTTTTGCCCATCGGCAACTTTCTGACAGAAGGTAGAAGGCTTTTCCTAAGAGTCTTACGGTCTTTTGCCCCATCCATTTTTCCTTCAACCCTAATGAGAGCCTCAGTTCCTGAGCCAGAGAAGCACCCCCAACAGGAAGCTGCCACCTCCATGCTTTACTCTAGGTATGGTATTTTGTAAATGGTGAACAGTGTTGGATTTACACCAAGTGTACAGTTTGATGTTGAGGCCAAACAGTTCCATTTAGGTTTCAACTGACCATAAGACAATTTTTCATTTGGTGTCAGAATCTTCATTAGGCATTCTGGCAAAGCTCAAATGAAAGTTAATATGGCCTTTCTGGACAGTTGCTTTTTCCTTGCAATCCTCCCGAACAAGCCACATCTGTGAAGTGTGTCAAGTGCACAGAATGACCACTCTTGGCATGAAGTCCTGCAACTCCTTCAGAGTGGCCACTGGCTTCTTGGTAACCAGTTTGGAGGGACGACCGGGTCCAGGGAGGATCCTAGTGGTACCAAATGCTTTCCACGTCTTTATTAGAGGCGTTACTGTGTTCTGCGGGATTGCTAAAGCCGTTGAGATTCTTTTGCATCCGTCTCCTGCCTTATGTCAACCAGAGTCAGTTGTTTGCTGTCAGTTGCACTACCAAGCAAGAGAACGCTCCAGGAACAGCTGTGGTTTAAGCTCCACTAATCGCGTTGATTACAGCTGATCACAGGTGGAAGCCAGTAACCATGTTCTTCTGAGGAAGTGGTGCCCCCCCCCCCCCCCCCCCCCCCGACTAGGTGTAAAATTTCTTTTAAGGAGGTGGTGATACTTTATTAATTGTCTTCTTCTTATTATTTTCTTTTCATTTATTTTTTCTTCTTGAACTGTAACTTTGATATTTTTCAGTGAAAGTTATTGGTTGCATTTGATAAGTAAAGCTGGTAAAAGTGTTTCCATTTAGGCTTCAAAGCAAAAGGATTGAAGTCTGTCAAACGGGGTGATTCTTTCCTATGCCCACTGTAAAAGCAGAAAGCTATTGGTCAAAACTTGGTTAATGAGGGCGATGGAGACACAGGAGTTAAGTGCTCGCCCCGTGATTGGAAGGTTGCAGGTTCGATCCCCACCCAGCCCGTCTGTGTCGTTGTGTCCTTGGGCAAGACACTTAACCCACTTTGCCTGATGGTGGTGTTCGGAGGGACCGGTGCTCGGCAGCCTCGCCTCAGTCATGTGCCCCAGTGCAGCTGTGACTATGATGTCACTCATCACCACCAGTGTTTGAATGTGTGTGTGAATGGGTGAATGACTGATTGTGTTGTAAAGTGCCTTGGGGGGTTCCAGGACTCTAGAAGTGATTAATCAAATACAGGCCATTTAGTTAGAATGATTCATTTTGCAATGAAAAGTCATTTTGATCCTCAGTAAACCTTGGTGCTTAATTAAAATGTGAAGAAAAAAGATCAAATTAATTAAAGAGACATTAAGATAGACATTACTTTAGAAAAGTAACATGAAGGCTAATCTAGCTACAGACGTGTTAACAGAAGAAGGATGCTGCCTTTGCCATATCTCTGCTGTTAAGAGGCTGACCCCGGGCCGTTAATGACTGCTTTGATCGAGAAGAAGATTGATGTTATGGCTTCACTGCTCTCTTTTGGCCCCCTTTCCTTAAAATGGCAACTAAAAAAAAATACTGCAGAAGGTCAAGACACTGATTTATTTAGAGCAGTAGGATGACGTTTAGGAAGCATCCTTTGGTGGCAATGGATTAAAAAAAGAAAAAAACTATAGAATGTCTCTAAGTCATTATCCAAAGACCCACCGAGGATGAAATTAGAGCAAAGCTTCGCTGGTCAATAGGGCTAGATAACAATGTAATTAAGTGCAATTGGCTTTTAATTGGGCATAATGCACCCCATCGCCCTTTTTTTAAATTATTTTTTGCTTAAGCTGCCCTTCAATACAAGGCAGCAGCTGCCACAAGCTCAGCTTTTCAGCGCTATTATCTGTAGCATTAACGATTTTTGACCAGAGGGGAAATAAATGGCTTCGGTTGGAAAGCCTTCCATCAATCACAGCTGTGCTCCTTGTGGAATATTAGTCTTTGGTGTGCAGGAGAATTCCTCCGATTAAGAGGTTAAAATTAGGTCATAGAGGAGAGTTAAAAACAGTTTGCTCGTATCAAACTTCCTTGCATTTGAGGATAGATGTGGAAAATGCCAAACCTGATGTTTTTATTGATTTCTTTTGACATGTTCAGAGTTTAGCACACATACTTAACAACCCTCCCAACATGGATCAATGCTTTCTCTTCCAACGTACATCAAATTGGCTTATCCATTTCTCCAATCTAACAACCCTTGTGACACAAATCCCACAAGAGTCCTGATAAATATCACTCTTCTCTCTTATTGCAGAGAAACTAAATCAACAAAATGGACCAGAAACTGCACATGTTATTTCAGTGATTGATGTCCACATCAGTTCAGCTTTGCAGCAACTTATTACTTCAGCTTTCCGTGCACCAATTGATTATTCATGCTCCATTATTATAGTTAATCTAACACAACATAATGACTACAATCATGCAGATGAACAATAATCTACAAGAGCGAGTGGTGGGTTCTTTGTTGTTGTTACACTGGCACCTTTCTGAGGTGCACTCATTCCTGTTTGGTCAGGCATGAATAAATATACTGTAAAAGCTGCATAGCAGCGGTCTTCGTTTCAAGCTGGTGTGGACGTAGATGGATGGAGTTCCCACCCTGTAATTTACACAGGCTGATTACACCCAAGCCTCCCGTACCCTTTAATTACAATAGGTGTCCTTTTGACTAATTGCGTGTTTATACTCAGGGGGTTCTGCTGGTATTAATGCACTCACTTTGCATCCTGAAGGCCACTATTCAAAATGTGTCATGTGAAGGTATCTGGTAATGAGCAAACCGAAATGTGTGCATGCTCCTGCCGGCGGAGTTTGGTCTCAGGTGCTGCTTCGTGACCCTTTTCACTGTGACCTCTTCACAGGGTCTGCCCGGTCCTCCCGGTGAGAAGGGAGAAAACGGGGACGTTGGAGCGATGGTGAGCGCAGCTCATTCTCTCTTTGTTCACAAGTATTTCATTTTAGTTGGATTTTCACATTTTTCTTTTGCAAGTTTTGACCCATGTCTATACACACTATACACTATACGTTTGCAACTTGTTCAAACTTTGCAATCACTATTGTTGTGCACAGTTTTTTTTACTTTTGTAGAGCTACAGAATAAATTGTAAAGTGAAGGAAAATGTAGCAAGTGTCTGATGATTTATTTTAATGAATGAAAAAGCAGCCGACCTTTTCTCTTTCTGACAATCTTCACACATTTACCATCTGAACATTGTCATAGCGTGATCTGAGCATTATGTAATTTATCTACACTTTAGTATGTCACCATCATGTATTGCAGATGTTCAGTAGGAAGTTCTCAGCTGAAACCTTTTCTTAAACTTTCAAAACTGCATTTGATAACACTTCTGTTAAAACAATGAAATAAGTAACAAATCAGTCCAGGAATATGTCTCTTCATGCATGTATCAACATGCTTGTAAACATCTCCTAAAAGTAAATATCTCTTTTTGACAGGGTCCACCAGGTCCTCCTGGTCCCAGAGGTCCACAGGGCCCCAGTGGTGCTGATGTAGGTTTTATATTGTGTTTGTTTCAAAATTAAAGGATGTAAAAATCCATGTCATGTTGGTATGGTGTTTTAATTTCATTAATGTGTTTCTAATTTATCTCCAGGGTGCACAAGGGCCTCCTGGAGGTATTGGTTCAATGGGAGCTGTCGGTGAGAAAGTAAGAACCAATGAACTGGAAACTAATAATGTAGTAGTGATGCATTACAATGTTTACACATAAAGTCTCATTGGTCGACACGGAATGGTGAAATGATGTCTCCGCATTTGACCAATCCCCTGGAGTAGCGGTGAGCCGCAGACATGGCCGCGCTCAAGGACTATTTGGTGGTTGAATCCCCCTGTCGAACCCCTTAATGTTGAGTGTCAACTAGGGAGGCAATGGGTCCCATTTTTAAAGTCTTTGGTATGACCCGATTGTGGATTAGAACCCACAGTCTCCCAGTCTCAGGGTGGACACTCATACTAGTCCACTGAGCTGTGTTTGTGTACTATAAACGTACTAAAACACTGAGGTGGAAGCTAATACAATATTTAGCTGATGAAGCTGGGTTATTATTGTTGTTGTTGTTTTTTTTAACTAATTAATTTATCTATTTATTCATTCTTATTTATTTACTTACAGGGAGAAACTGGAGAGGCTGGTAACCCAGGACCACCTGGAGAACCTGGTATTGGAGTAAGTGTAAAACTCCAGTAACGTGATCATTGTATCTTTTCAAATGAAAGATTGTTACATATATATATATATATATATATATATATATATATATATATATATATATATATATATATATATATATATATATATATATAATGGGGTTTGAATTGTACATAGACAGGATTTTCATTCCTGTTTCCACAGTATCTGAATGTAGAAAAGTATTGATTTTATTTACTACTTAGAATTTTTTTTTTTAGTTTACTGTCATTTTTCGTCATTGCATCAATTTCTATAATGATGACTCATCTCAGATTGTTGCTACCTTTTAAAATGGTTCTAGTTTCAACTCTTAGCTGGTGGAAAACCTCAGATCAGATTTGCTCCATTGATCCTGGCTGAGGAGTAGCCACAGCACCTCCAAGGCCAGGCACGTCTCACCCTAGCCACAGGTGTGAGACTTCTTGTGTCTGAGTCACTCAGACTGTATTGACAGATCGATCTGTGCTTCATATTTGTTTACAGTGACACACAGAGTCATCCCAGTCCAGATGTAAAGAGCCATACTGGCATTGACTAGTGAAGAGCTCAGCTCTAATGGGCCAGCTAATAAATTTGGACTTGCAATCAGGCTTCAGCTGCTGCACTGAAGCAAGCTGGAAGAACCTGTGTCCATCGGGTCTAGGGTTAAAACAACCCTGGGATATTCAGGGTTTCATTTTCTTCCATTAAAATATTTTTCAGAGGATTTTCTAAAACCTGAGTTTCTGTTTTTTATTTGTTCAGGTTATTCTTGTTGCTTGTTTTGATCCCAGCTGTGTGTCTTTTGTTGTTTTTACTCTCACTTACTTGCTTGTGATGGTGAATTTTGACTCAGGGCCCTCGAGGAGAGACTGGAGAGAAGGGAGAGACTGGCCCCCCTGGAGCTGCTGGGCCTGCAGGCGCCAGAGGACCCCCTGGCGATGATGGTCCAAAGGGTAACCCTGTACGTCTCCAACATTTCAACACACACACACACACACACACACACACACACACACACACACACACACACACACACACACACACACACACACACAGCTGGTGCGTCATTAGAGCTTTCTCTGACAGCGTAATTGTGTTGTATTTCTCTGTTGAGTTGCCTGCTGACAGTGCTGTTGTTGACACAGTGTCAAATATATGAGTCAGGCTCAGACGTATCAGTGTCTCTGTGTGTCTGCAGGGTCCTGTCGGCTTCCCAGGAGACCCAGGCCCCCCTGGTGAGCCAGGTGCTGCTGTAAGTACTGAAATTATATTTTCTTTCTGAATAGCCGTTATTGACTATGAACCGTTATGACTATGAATAACAATTGCATTTGTGAATATAATTACATGCTCAAATTACCCCCAACACAAATATGATAAGAACGACTCCATGCTGCTACGAATATAATGTCTTATGTGCTTCTGTAATTTGGTTACATTTTTATTAAATCATGTTTGAATCACATGTGGTTTGTTTAGGGTCTTGATGGTTTACCTGGTGATAAGGGAGATGATGGAGAGGCAGGACAACCAGTAAGTCTTTTTTTAATCAGAATTGTTTTTAGCACATAAACTCCACAATTAAATTCTATATTGCTATTAAGATTGAGAGAATATTGATGCAAGTCACTTTTTTGTGTGATATTTAAAATTCCCAGTGTCTTCTGACGTTTGTTCATTATTTCACATCTATGGGTAAAATTATAGTAGTCATTGATAAAACATGCAGATCATTGTTAAATTCAAATATAGTCTTGAGAGTCAAAAAGAGAGAGCAAACCTGTCATATTTCATGAGCGCCAGCTTCATTCAGTGAAATAAAATATCATTTTTTTCCAAACTGGGATGTCCTGTGATGTAGCATTGCTCTGATGTTTTAAGAAGTGGAGTTTGAGTGTTTTATCTGCTCTAATTTAGGGCCCTCCAGGTCCATCTGGTGAAGCCGGAGTACCAGGGCCTCCTGGTAAAAGGGTGAGTATGTTTCAAACAAAAATTTTACTTCCGCACAGCTCTTTAGCCAGTTTCTCTCTTTTTAAGTGTTCATAACAAGCCCCAAGCTACTTCATTACCCGCTGATGCATATTTATGATCATACGCTTTGATTTGGGCTGCATGGTAGTCAGTACTGTTGCCTCGCAGCATGAAGGTTGCTGGTTCGAAACTCGGATGCGGCCTTTCTGCGTGGAGTTGCGTGTTCTCCCCATGCATGCGTGGGTTTCCTCCGGGTACTCTGGTTTCCCCCACAGATCACAACATGCCCTATAGGTTATAAATTGTAAGTCACTTTGGGTAAAAGTGTCTGCTATATAAATAAACATAAATAAACAAGATTTTAGATTGATTTTCTCATGTTTCCAAGGAATCCTGGCCCATTAGTGAAAACAGTCTAACGAGTTTGGATCGCAGAAGGCAGTGATGCTGTTTTATAATTATCAACATTAAGATATTTTGACTGACAGTGATTAGGAAATAAATCAGGATTAAATCTGATATTGTTGATAAATCTACTTTTAACACTTTAACTTCTAGAAAACAGCAAAACATTGCCCTTTTGCATTGTGTGTGTATATATATATATATATATATATATATATATATATATATATATATATATATATATATATATGATTCTTCATTTAGTACCTAAAATATACAGCATGTTTTACAAATGTACCAACTTTCTGTTTAGAATAAACAAGATTAATTTCTCCAGCTCATCGTGTGTTTTGAATCAAGTCTACTTCTTGCTTGAGTGAAAATGGTCACAGCGCCAGAGAGATGTAAAATCCACTTAACTGTGTGAAATGTTTAGTGGACACCAGTGTCTTTTTAGTTTACAATGGCCTAACTTCAAATGTAAGCAGTGATTGTGTATTCGGAGACAAATTTGTGTGGAAAGCACTTTTATGTCGCCTGAGTTTGTATTCCTCACGTTAGCATCGGAGTCTACAGAACTAATTAGACCGCGGTTAGCCGTCCATACTAATGAACTTTGTGGTATAATTTTTCATTCTTCAAGGTAATTCTGGGTTAGCCTCTCTTGCAATATCTCCTTAAAACCGATTCCAGTTTTGGTGCTCACTGATGCGTGGAGCTCTTTGACTACATTAGCACACAGTCACGCTTTGGTGCACACACACAGCCCTGTGCACTCACACATATTTGCCAGGGATCTTAACCTACATCGAAGACCCGTGGCTTTTGTTTGGTCAAAGTGATTAGGCTTTTTAACACCACGTGTCAGCCCACTTACAAGATGTGACTAGAGGCTGTTTTGGGGACGAAACGTTGCTCAATTTTTATCAAATTATATTTAGATTGTATAACAGTTTTCTTTGCACTGGTGCTGCATTCCTCTTCAAGGTCAGAACATGTTTGGATATTTATCAGAATTAATGGTTTTTAGGGAATGTTGGCAGAGTGATCATCAGAAAAATCTAATGTTGTTTTTAATTATCTTTAGGGACCTCTTGGACAAGCAGGTCAAGAGGGCAGGCAAGGAGAAAAGGGATCCAAGGTAAGCTCTGGTAATTGAAATAAAATGTTGTCAGTCTGAGTTTGACCATGAAATCAACCTTTCAGCTTAACTTTCCTTTTTAGCAACTTCAGCTCTATATTTTAGCTGTCCTACTTGCAGCGGTGTTTTATTAGTCAACTGTCACTGCTTTGAGAGTCACTTTTGTGGATTGGATTATTTATTTGCTCCAAACCTTCCTCAGGAAGGCAATCTTAAAAGGAAGCAAAAAATGTCACGGATCCCCAGGGGCGCAGCCTGTCTCCCCTGGATACCCCGCTCAGGAATCCCATATACTATTAAAAATTGGCAAACTAGTCACACATAAAAAGCAATGCTGTCTCTTGACAATCAAAATATTAGACTGCTTTGTTGAAATCTTTAACATCCTGGTGTTTGCACAATCAGTGAGCATGAAGAGGAAGAAACCCTTTAAGCCGTAAAGACAGTGTTTGATACCACATCAGATTTGCACCGTCAGAAAACCTGGAAGACCAAAATAGTCTCAATCTGTTTCTTTGTTTTTCTTTTATTTCTACCCTTCACGTGCACCCAGTCATATGCACACACATGCACACACACACACACACCTAACACCATCAACATTTAGGTAAAAGATTAGAGTAAATTTGACAGACAAGGCAAAGCCTGCGTGAAGATTCAACTCTGTCAAATCTGGGCCTAATTGCCTGTCAAAATGGTTTAATTCCCTTCATCTATCATCACGGCCAATATCACATCTGCGGAGCATCGATACATGAAAACAAGCTATTCCTGCTCAGATGGATGAGACCTGGAAACATATGATCTGTCTGAGCGTTGCAAATCCTCGTATCCTCCCACTCTTAGCTTCTGTGATGGGAAACGTGGAATGTAGAACAATGTGTTTCAGGGAAACAGGAATACTTCAGTCCTTAAACTGAATAACAATTATCTAAAGACAGAGTTGACAGCATGAGAGATATAGTGTAGAGCAGGAATCACATGACTGATTCAATTAGGAAAGTGCTCGTTTTAACGTTTTAGTTGGTAGAAATGGGTGTTTCTTTTCTGTAAATAATTCCTTTACAGCAAGTAAAAGCATGCTTGGTCAAAAATAATTAATAATTAGAGGGTATTTGTGATTTTAGGGAGAATCTGGAGCAGAAGGACCTGTTGGGAAAACTGGACCTGTGGGACCTCAGGGGCCACCCGGAAAGGCTGGTGCTGAAGGTCTGCGTGGAATTCCTGGCCCTGTTGTGAGTTTGTGAGCAGAAAGCTATCATTTTATCCACCCAGTCATCCATTTTTGTACGCTTCTCTGGGGTCGGGTCATGGGGGCAGCAGCCTAAGCAGAGAAGCCCAGACTTCCCTCTCCCCAGCCACTTGGGCCAGTTCTTCTAGGAATCCCAAGGCGTTCCCTGGCCAGCAGAGAGACACGGTCCCTCCATCATGTCCTAGGTCTTCCTCCTCTCGGTTGAACGTGCCCGGAAAAGCCCACCAGGGTGGCGTCCAGGAAGCTTCATAACCAGATGCTCGAGCCACTTTACCTGGCTACTCTCGACGTGGATGAGCAGCGGGTCTACTCCAAGCCCCTCCTGAATGATCAAGCTTCTCACCCTATCTCTAAGATACAGCCCAGACACCCTGCAGAGAATACTAAATTTGGCCACTTGAATCCCAGATCCCTTCGCTACGCTCTGTAATAATCAAGGGGGGGGAAAAAATGGATATCCTGATCCAAATCTTTCGATGACTACCCAAAGCTCATGACCACAGGCGAGGGTTGGAACATAGATTGGCTGGTAAATCAAGAGCTTCGTCTTCCAACTCACCTCTCTTCACCGGGACAGAATACTACATTGCCACCATCGCTGCAGATGCAGCACCAATCTGTCTATTGATCTTCCGCTCCATGTTTCCTTAATTTGTGAAGAAGACCTCGAGATACTTAAACACCTCCACTTGAGGCAGGACCTCGTCCCCATACATTTTACATGGCAGTACATAACCGGGAATTAATGACAAATTTCCAAGGTCACGTTTTTCCAAGGGTAGGCCCTCGAGTGCCGCTGTCCAGCATGTTTTAGTTGTTTTCCTGCTATCTCAGTGGTTTAATCACCTGTTCATCAGGTTATTGAGCTCTGTAGAAGCCTGTTAATGACCTACTGATTAAAATCAGGTGTGGTGGAGCAGGGGAACAACAAAAGCCTGCTGGATAGTGGCACTAAGGGACATGATTGCCTACCCATGCACTAGAACATAAAATATGTTTATGAAGTTGTCAAATTGTTGGTCAAAAACTGTTGTATGTTATTATTTTTTTTGTTTTAACTATTTTTTCAGGGTGAGCAAGGACTTCCAGGTGCCTCTGGACAAGATGGTCCTCCTGGACCCATTGTAAGACATTACTTTCCTCTACCTGCATGTTTTGTTTTGATATTTGAACTTAAAACCTCAGTTGCAACAATTGGCGTTTCAGTTCCTCCTAACAAACTGATTCCTCCTCCTTAGGGACCCCCTGGACTTCCCGGCATGAAAGGAGACTCTGGATTCAAAGGAGAGAAGGTGAGACATTATTGGGATGCTAATCTAAAATTCCCTCATGCTGTATTTTCCATATCTACTTCTGCGCCTTATCTGAAGCTCTCAAAGCAAGCAAAGGGTTTGCTCTCTCCCAGTGAGATGAAAATGAGTTTGGTTTTTCCACTCAGTGATTTAATGCACTAAATGAATATGCATAAGTCTGATGATATCGTCTTTGTAATGGTCATTGGTTGGTTGCCAGCGTGCTGCAGTCAGAAGCAGATGATCATAACTCTGCCCAGCAGCAGATGCAGAGACACACCATTGTTAAATATGACACCCACAATGAGCATTCAGATTATTTATTGATAGAAATAAAAACCCTCAGGGTTCGTCTAGGTAGCCGCTTTGTGTAAAATTGTCCGTGAACTAGCATGAATGGTTTTAACTTAATCAAACAGAAAAACGGACAGAAAGTAGACTGTTTTTGCTGTGGACGTGACTTTTTATTGAGCAGGTGGTTGGTAGTGCTAGATAACGATTTGCTTCCCTTTCTGCTTCAGGGTCATCCTGGTCTCATTGGTCTGATTGGACCTCCTGGTGAACCCGGAGAGAAGGGAGACAGAGGTCTGCCTGGACCTCAGGGTTCTGCAGGTGGTAAGGGAGACGCTGTAGGTATCCTGGAGTGACTTTAAACTAAATCAATTTTACTCTCACTTTATGTACATTTAAACACTTAATAGTTTTTGACAAATCCAGAGATAAAACATGATTTATATAATGTATCTTCGGCATGATGTTTAATTTGATTTTGTTGTGTGTCATAAGGGGTTGGGGGGTGCCAATGGTCCTCTCGGTCCTCCTGGTCCTCCTGGACTTCCTGTAAGTCGTAGTTCTTGTAGAACAAATGTGATTTTACACTTTCTGTCTCACTGATTCTTTTCTTCATATCTGAATATTGTCTATTATCTCATCAGGGTGCACAAGGACAAAAAGGGTCTAAGGGTTCAGTTGTAAGTTACGTTTTACTGTTTTGGTGTTTGGATTATGTTTTTATTTTAATGGATGTTGGAAGGAAATGTTTTTGTTTTCCCACATGCTCATAATTCTGTTTTCTGTCAGGGTTCGGCTGGTCAGAAGGGAGACCCTGGGCTGGTTGGACAACCTGGACCACCTGTAAGTTAAAGATTCAGCTGTTTTCATCGCAAAACAGAATATTTTACAAAAATATTAAACCAATTTCCTCCTCAGATTTGTTTTCCTTTTTGACAAAACTAAAATACATATTTGATATTGGAAAATAATAAAAGCCAATCTTTAATTTCTGCACTGCAGGGTCCACCTGGTGACATCATCCAGTCGCTGCCCATTCATCAGCCTAGCAAAAAGAGCAGGCGGCAGGCCGACACGCAGGGAGACGAGGCATTGGCCGACTATGGCATAGGTTTGGGCACAGAGGGAATGGAGGATGTCTTTGGATCTCTCAACAACCTCAAACAAGACATCGAACACATGAAGTTCCCCATGGGCACGCAAGACAACCCTGCTAGAACCTGCAACGACCTGCACCTCAGCCAGCCCGACTTCCCAGATGGTACAACAGAGAGAATGCTTTAGCCATCAGTGATTTTGCTCGGGATCGTGGAAAAAACCTTAAAGATGGTCAAAACCAAACAGCTTGTGTTTGGCAGTGTTTCACGCTTCTGCTTCTCTCTCAGGTGAATACTGGATCGATCCAAACCAGGGCTGCATTGGAGACGCCATCAAAGTGTTTTGTAACTTCACAGCAGGTGGAGAAACGTGTATTTACCCAGACAAGAAGTCTACAGGAGTGAGTTACGCTGCTTACTAACTGCAGTAGAAAACACAAATGGTCAACATAATGCTGACATTCCTGTTACAGGTTAGAATATCTAACTGGCCCAAGGAGTCTCCAGGTTCTTGGTTCAGTGAATTCAAACGAGGGAAAATCGTAAGTCCACCCACATGGCTCCTCGCAGACCTCTTTTTTTCTCCCTTTCATCTATTTTTTTTTCAATTTCATTACACTCTTTCAGCCGACACACCTTTCTCCAGCATCCACATTAAAGGTGTGGTTCACTGAAAATCTATTATTAAAATCTTGTTATAATCCATCACTCTTGAGTTTGTCATGCAGGCTAAACATGAAAATAGTCTCCTACAACTATCTCCTGCATTAGCATCTGATAGAAAATAGACGGTGAAACTCTAGGATTTGAAAATCCTGACAGATCTACGTCACACTGTCACTTATCATTCATTCACTCACCCATCTTGATTCACGATGGGGAAGACTGTTGTTGGTTTAGCATCCAGGAAACAGCAGAGAACGTCTCGGCTAGTAGATGCTAACCGTTAACATTAGCAACTCCAACACACAGCAGAACTCCTCTAGGCTTGTGTTATTTGTGGAGATGAAACATCCATGTTGCAAGTCAGTGGGAGAGTCACGAGATGTCCAAATATCAGGAAATGAAACTCGAAAACATGCCGCCTGAAGCTCAGCTGTGATGTGGCTCACTTCTAGTTCCAGGAAATGGTACACTGGAATTGTTCCCCCTCATTCAGTGTTACCAGAGACCACTGCAGTTGTATTGATTAAACGAGTGCTCCACACTTTTGAGACATCCTTTTTTTAAATATCCTTCTGACTTTTCTTCCTTTTAAGTTTTGTTTTCTCTTCGCCTGTCCCCAGTTGAACTACGTCGACATGGCAGAGAACACCATCAACATGGTTCAGATAACCTTCTTAAAGCTGCTGAGCTCCTCAGCCCGGCAGAACTTCACCTACATTTGCCATCAATCCGTCGCCTGGTATGATGCCAAAGCTGACAGCTACGACAAGGCGCTGCGCTTCCTGGGCTCCAACGATGAGGAAATGTCTTATGACAATAATCCTTTCATCAAGCCGCTGATGGACGGCTGCTCGGTAAACACTCGCTTTCTCTCGTTCTCACACTGAGTGCTTGTAATTAAACTTTTTCTAAATCCAGAGACGTCACACTAATCCTCACCAATATACAGAAGATTGTAGAAAAGTGTCAGAAAGTATGTTTGAGACAAAAGTAAATGCTGAATTAATAGGTAGGTATTGTTGTTTGAAAACTGCTCGTGGAGTTATTTACAAAAACATGTGTTGATTTCTCCTACACCAGTGCTGGAAGATTTTTTATTTGTTTACTTTTTTAACTGTCTTGATGCTGTAGATTTTTTATTCATTAGTTTTGTGCAATTTCCTCTTATTTGTTATAATATGAATTCAAGACATTAGAACTTCTGGAAAAAGAGTCATGTATAAAAATCTCATTTTGCAAAAGGAAAAATGTTACTAGATAAACTTTTTTGACGTTTCCTAATTAATGCAGAAGCCTTATTTCTGATCTTTTTCATCTTTGTTGTTTTCTGGCAGTTAGGACTTCATGTTCTTTTACCTTTAAAGAAATGACGACAAACTTCCTGTTATAAAGCTTCATGAAATGAAAACAGTTTACTTTTCCTTCAGATTATAGTTTAGTTTTGAGCAAGGATAATCCACATTTCAAGATATTCATTTTTTAAATTAGTTTAAAGGCATAGAACACTGAAAAAACACGTTTTAATAATTATTTCTGATTATAATCAGTCACTCTGTGTTTTTCACACAGGCTGAACATAAAAATCATCTCCTACATCTATTTCCTGCATTAGCTTCTGATAGAAATATACAGTGAAACTCTAGGATTTGTAAATCCTGACTGCTGTATGTCAATCGGTCGCTTGGACTCACCCGTCTTGACTCACGACGGGGAAGGCTGTCGTTGGTTTAGCGTCCAGGAAGCAGCAGAAAATATCTTGGCTTGCAGAAGCTAACCGTTACCATTAGCAACTCCACCACACAGCATCATTCCTCCAAGCTTGTGTTATTTGTGGAGAGAAAACATCCATGTTGCAGAGCAAATGTAGACAGTGGTAGAGTCACGTCGCTGTTGTCCAATCAGAGGCAAGATGCCAAAATATCAGGAAATAAGACTCCTAATCCCGCCACTCTCTGCTGCAGACTTGTCCATGCTGATCAATGTAATTCATTCCTACCAGAGGCAACTGCAAATGTATTGATTAAATGAGTTTCCTACACCTTTAACCTCAGTGGGTTCAGAAACAAGGCAACACAGTTCTATTTCTTTCTTCGTCTTTTTTTTAGCTTGGCTGAATATTTTTAGTATTTCAACTAAGAAACAATGTTTTTTTAAACAGAAAAGTGCAGAAAACTACCGTTTCAACCGTAAGAGCTTCATCACTTTTTCTACCTGAATATCTAGAATGCGCTGAATTCTAAATGCTGCACTTTTGTGGCTACACATCCATCTCCGTGTATTTTAAAAAGCATTTTTGATCATTTAGTAAACAACGTTTTCATGTATTCTTCACTTTGCAGCTAAAGCAGGGCTATTCCAGGACTACGTTGGAGATCAACACTCCCCGCATCGACCAGTTGCCCATCATTGACGTCATGCTGAATGACTTTGGGGGCACCAACCAGAGGTTTGGCTTTGAGGTTGGTGCCGTGTGTTTCCTCGGCTAGACGACCCCTCCCCACCCCTCCCAGCTGAAAGACAGGGTCAGAGGGTACATAATAACACCCACACTCAGAGATCTGACAACCATCACCTTCTCTCCCTACGAAGCAAAGAAGACCCAATCAAGCAGGAAGGAAAGAAGACGTCTGACCAGGGGGAAGTCCTCCTCGCCCTCGTAGGGCCAGAACCACATGACTTTAACTTGAGTGACATCAGGAAAAGGAGGTTAGATGCTGTGGTGGACAGTAGCACACTTTCAGCATTAAAGAGAGGATCCACTCACCCCCAAACCCAATTATCCCACATTCTCCCCTCCCACCTCCTCTTCCTCTCTGGATGCTCCAGGTGATGCTCAGAGTACAACCACGGAGGTGCTTTTGTGCAGAATCACAAAACACCCAAGGTGCTACAAATAGTGCTTTTTGATAAAATTGTAATTATTTTTTAACATAGCAATTTTGTACATTACTGTTCCTCACCAAATCCACTCTAAAAGCCTGCATGTGCCTCTTAAGGGTTGAATAAATATTTGGTTAATCATGCTTGAAGAATAAATTTTATGATTATATTTAAAGTTTCTTAGAAGAGAGTCATGTCCATGATATACTTTTAAAACAGCCTCAAATTGTAACTATGAATCAGTCCTTTTGTAAATATTACTGTCAGGATTTATTTTTATGTGCTTAAACAAACTAGGAGGTGATAATTCAATCCAAAAGAGCAGTTTGTGTTTTTCATGACAAGCCTGATTCCCATCAGGAAATTAAGCCATAACAAACCAAGATAGTAATATAAATAGTTTTGGATAAAAATCATTGTTGTACCTCTTTGTTCTCTAAAAACTTTGACATACTAGCTTAAAACATGTTTACATTTTATCATGTGGTAAAATCACAGCGAGGCCATGTGGATATTTTCTCTGTAACAATGAACAAAAAGTGTTTTTTTTAAAGTGCCAATTAAAACGGAGTTCTGAAACAAGTTGGGCTGAATGTATTGTTCCCTTTTTGTGATTCTGTGGCCTGTTGGCATCACCGTTGTTGGTCACAATAATAAAAAAGACGAGGATTCGATTGTTTTACTAACTTTTTCAGCTTTTTGTTTCTGACTCAGATTTGATTTTTGATCACGGTCTGTTTGCATCTCCACCGTCTTAACTTAAGGCCGCGGTAGCAGACTTGAGATCTCCTTCCGACCCTGTGTATGTTTACAAGCTTTGTGCAACTGAAATAAATCTTTGGTGCTTTGCTAAGTGCACATTGAGATCATTTGCATTCACTTGCAGATTACATAGTATGACAGAAAACCAAGCGTAACAAGTGAGTGCCTCCACAATGCACAATGAGATCTCACCAGCATGAGAACAATGCTCAGCCTGCCATAGATTCCTAATTACACCTCACGTTCCTGTGGGACATGTAATCAGCTGAAAAAAATTGCCATTGTTCATAGGACTCATTTTAGGATGGTGAACCAGACTCATTTTCCACTAAATTGGGTTGTTTTTGACTTGGATCCAGCATTCAGCTGCTCTAAGTTGATTATTTTGCTAGTTTGGGCTCCGATTTGGCTCCTTAATTGAAATTTGGATCACCACACCATAATTGGTGACCTGACCTTCACCTCATTATAAACCTAGTTCTGTTTCAGCTGTGGGTGAGCTAAGTTATTCATTTTCTTCTTAGATTCTATCCTGCTGGGTATGCAGCATTAAGAAAGCTGCACTGTGGTGGGATCTTTGGAATTGTTGCTGCATAACCAAAGAAAAAAGCCTTTGCTGCAGAGGGTTATCAACAATTACTCCCTTTCAAGACAACTATTATCACAACCATCACTTTGCTGAAGCTACATCAGTTGGTTTGTGTCAGAGAGCGTGCTGGTGCCATGAAAAGACCTCTGCACTCTTCCTTATCTTTTCTCCGATTGTCACCATTTGAAATCGTTAATGAAATGCAAGGATCACATGAAGCACGATTAACAGCATGATCCGTGTAATGTTGACATGATAATAGAACAGCTTTTATCCGTGTCGCTCAAGTGTCCACGACAAATGCAAATCAGCAGTAATTACCTTTTCTTTCCAAGGAGTTAGTCATTTTAGCCATGTTGTGAAAGCCCGTGGAAAACGAAGCATGCCATTTATTCAGAGACGTCTCAAAAAATAGACAGAAAACCAATTATGACTCCCATCGCTAAACAAACAGGAAGGAAATAAGTGACGAGGTTGTTCTGCACGTTGGCTGTCACATTGAAAAGTTACTTTATTTTCAGGAGATAAGAAAAATGAAATGCCATCCATCCATCCATTTTCATCCGCTTATCCGGAGTCGGGTCGCGAAAAGGGTGCACACTTCGCAGAATCGGTGACAAAGGGCAGCTTTGGCGGAGTCCAACTCTCACTGGAAACAAGCCCGACTTACTGCCGGCAATGCGGACCAAGCTCTCACACCAGTCATACAGGGACCTAACAGCCCGTATCGGGGGCTTGGTACCCCATACTCCCGGAGTACCCCCCACAGGGCCCCCCGAGAGACGCGGTCAAACTAAGACCCCACAATGCGGGACAGAAATTGAGTCCAATGCGTAAGTGAAATAAATTGCAGTTCCACCCTCCTCCACTGGGGGCTGGTGTCAGAAGCGAGCAAATCCTCATTGACTCCCATGTTAAAAATACCAATTTCACAGCAGAAATAAACATGTTTACAGCCTGGTTCCAAAACATGTTTTTGGTTTAAATTATCTAGATTACACTCATGACAACTCTGAGGGGGGTGAATTTTTTTCTCACTCATCTGTTTAAGTGTATTAAAAGCCTAACATTCTGTATAATTAATGAGCATCAGACCCACGTGACCACAGAGCTAGCTCCGGGGAAAGGCCTCAGTAGAGCCTCGGTCTGGCTTGGAAACTGTTCCGGTATTTTGAGTCTCTGTGTTTGTGCGTTCTTTTTTGGATATTATTTGTGCAATTGTTGGACAAAATGACTTGCTGTGGCATTAATTGCACTAATAGAGCGTCCAAGGAGTATCCACTTCATTTTTTTCGGTAAGTAAAATTATATTTATGTATTTTAGGTCACTGCCGAGCTGAGCTTAGATTTTAACATGTACTGTTTAACCATGAAATTTAAATGTGATAGGGTAAAACCCAGTGCATTTAACATAATGCTGCACTTTAGAAAATGGGTTGAAATATAACATGTTGGTGGAGCTGGGTTCCGACTATCGGCTTGTGGAGCTCTCGGGAGACCTCTGTTTTGCACCCGGTTCTCCCCTCCCCGCAGCTCGGCGCATCTCTGTCTGATCGCGGCTTCTGTCTGCTGCGTGGGCTGCCGGCTTGTGGAGCTCTGGGATGGAAACCTTTCCACCCGGTTCTCCCCAGCGGCAACTCTGCGCATCTCAGATCACAGCGGTGCTTGTCTGCTGTGCGGCTGCCAGCTTGTGGAACTCTCGGAGACCTCTGTGTTCCACCCGGTTTTACCCAGCGGTCAGCCCGGCGTATCTCTGACTCAGAAGCTCTGGTGTTGTGCACAGTTAACTCCGGTTGTAGCTAGGTTGCTACCTCCGTCAGCTTAGCTCTCACCTCTGTGTTAGCTTTGGGTTAGCTTCAGGTTAGCTTGTAGCTAGTTCGACCGGGTGTCGTCAGTTGATCCCAGCCTTACAGCCCCACCCTCAGCTCCACCTCTCTTCCCTTTTGTGGAACTGTCTGGGCTTGACTGAACCTGTGACACGGTCAAAATGGCGGTGGTGGCCACCTCCCATTTTCCCTCAAAAACGTGTTATTGGAGCCTATGGAAATGAATTGTCCAGTTTATATGTTGATGGGTCAAACGCCTTCTCCAAATCCACAAAACACATGTAGACTGGTTGGGCAAATTCCCACGCACCCTCCAGGATCCCCCTAAGGGTATAGAGCTGGTCCAGTGTTCCACAGCCAGGACCAAAACCACATTGCTCCTCCTGAATCTGAGGTTAAACAATCCGACGGACCCTCCTCTCCAGAACCCCTGAATCGACCTTACCAGGAAGGCTCAGGAGTGTGATCCCTCTGTAGTTGGAACACACCCTGCGGTCCCCTTTTAGATAGTATACCCCCACTATAGATAGTATTGGTAGCGCACTGCCCAACCCCCCCCCCCCCCCCCCCCCCCCCCCGAATCTCCTCGAAGCCGTTTGGAAGTATTGCTCCATGGTCTCACCGAACTCCTCCCATGCCCGGGTTTTTGCCTTGGTGACCACCCAAGCTGCGTTCCGCTTGGACTGCCAGTACCCATCAGCTGCCTCTGGAGTCCCACAGGCCAAAAAGACCAGATAGGACTCTTTCTTCAGCTTGACAGCAGGCAGAAAAATGAAATGTCAGGTATTTTTTTCTTATTTGACATTAAAACTGGGAATCAGCTGATTCTAAATGATAACTGTCTCCTTCATGGCAAAACTAAAGCAGTAGCAGGTAAATTAGAGCTTTATCATTCTAACAGATACTTTTAGCTCCTTGCAGCAATTCAAACTGAGTGTGATGTTTCGCAAAGCTTCTTACAGATCAATAAAAGTTTTCATGGTTAAAGCTGTTATGACGAATCTGAAAAAAAAAATAGGATTTAAATGCAAACACGGTCAAGGAACACTCACCCCTTCCCTCAGGTGTCTTCCCTGAGTCGCTTCTTCTGGAACCGGAAACCCGTTAAGCCAGACTAAACAAGATCGTACTAAACACCAGTTGCCGTTTTCTAAGTCCAAATGTCTTTTTTAGTTAGTCCTAAAGTTGAAGTGGCAGCAGCCGTCTGTTTCTCCTTCTCTGATATTGCTGAGCAGAGAGCCTCTCACACCAGCGGTGTTCTGTTGCTAAATGCGTGCATAAGGAATGGAGGACCCAATGAATGTGGAAGTACAGCGGTTCGGTGGGACCGACAACTGGATGGTCCAAACATTTTTATTGGAGGAGGTTTTTAGGCAAATGTGAGAGAACCTTTTTAATTTTTTTGTTTTGTTAAATTTCACCATCATTGAGACTCAGGCCCCCATCCTGCATATTCTATTTGTGTTCCTGCTCCAACACACCTGAATCAGTGGTATAATCACCTGTTCAGTAGGTCATCAATCTCTGCAGAAAACTGCTGGTTCGAATCAGGTGTACTGAAGCAGATGTTTCCTTTTCTTCTAAACACCTGCTTCTCTGCATCTGGACCCAAACACACGTTTGGTTGAATTTAAATTAGTCTTACATTTTAATTTGTGTCCCACACCAGCTTTCCACTGGATGCATAAGCAACGCCTTACTTAATAGAGATGTTTTACCCGCAAGCTTCTTTCCAGCTGGGTGCGTTTCAGACATAGAACTGTAGAAAATACATTTCTTACAGCTGATCCTGCGGGATCACAAAATGACTGGATTATTGCAACCCCACCCGTTATTCCAGAAGTTCACGCCATAACAAGCACGGAGAAAGATGAAACACCCCCCCAAAGCGCTTCACAACACAATCGGTCATTCACCCATTCATACACGCATTCATGGGGATGTGTTACGATGTAGCCACAGCTGCCCTGAGGTGCACTGACAGAGGCGAGGCTGCCGTACACAGGTGCCGTCGGTCCCTCTGACCACCACCAGCAGGCAAGGTGGGTTAAGTGTCTTGCCCAAGGACACAACAGCAGCATTCTCCGGTCGGAGCCGGGATCAAACCTGCAACCTTCTGATTTCTGGACAACCCACTCTACCTTCTGAGCTACTGCTATTTCATAGGTAATGTGCTTTTTTAAGCAACTGGAAATCTTCACATGACTTTTATTTTGAACATTTCCAGATGTTTTACCCTGCTTTCATGTTTGACTTCCCGTCTGGCCTAATCTGAATTGTTAGCTCATCCCCACCAGTGTGTGAATGGGTGGATGACTGATTATGTTGCAAAGCACCTTGGGGGGTTGTAGAATCCTAAGAAGGCACTATACAAATACAGGCCAACTCAGCTAGTTGATGCTGGTTCAAACAGGAGAAAAGCAGCCTGGGCGAAGACATCAACTACAAATTATTTGTAAATTCATGACTTCTGAAATCAACTCAGATCAGAGAAA